GAAGTCCAACTGATTTCTGAATACATGTCAAAGCTAGTGGGAGCATAAGTGTCATGCTAATAATAATTTTTATGCTAGTGGGAGCATAATTATTATGGTAAGTGTTGCAAGTTAGCAATGTTAATTATAGAAAACAAAGGTTTCAATTCGCAAAGTTGCAGGGTTTGAAAAGTTGTTTTGCTATAATTAAGGGACATGAATTTATACTTCATTTCAATTCTAAAAGCTTAGATTGAGATTTTAATCAAATTTAGTCAAATATATATGAATGTTATGTTGGAATGGTTCAACATAAGGAAATTCTATATATGGAAATGTTAATTGCATTCTCAAATTTGATTATGATTACGACATCCCTCTTCATAATCAAAATTATGAGAACATGGCAAATAGAAATATTATAGCAAAAGACTGATTAAGCATCATGTCTTTATGTTAGACATTTCGAATCGTTTCCCATATGCTTCGGGTATAGGATCGATTCATATGCTATAATATTCTCGTGTTCTAATTTTCCGAATGCCTAGGGCGTTTAGAGGGAAACAGGAATAGAACCAGATATGACTAAAGTGGTTAAACAACTGTTAAGGACAATCTAAGGTTCACCAAGGATTGGTCGCTAAAGGATAGTTGGAAGTATTGTAATGGAAGGACCATATTGACATTATTATGAATAGACAGGAGTCTATTAATAATGAGTTGTCGTATGGAAAATATGGAATGTTTCCATATTGGGAATTGAAGAATAGATGAAAAGGTTAGAAACTTTTATACAAGAAGGATATTCAAAGGAATGTACTTTGAATTTGAGACTTCATTTCCATGGAATTGTCTTGTAACAATCTCCAAAGGAATATTTTGTAATATCTTTGGTCAAGTATCTGTGACTTTTGGCACCTAGACATTACAAAAGAATCTTTGCATGATAGTTTAGAATCTAACACTTTCTAGTAGTGACAAGAATTTGGAATTCTTACACTTGCAATAAGGATTTGGAATTTTGAAATGAGCATCATTGAAATGTTTTTCAATTTATCTATTTCATAAAGTAAGGACCTTAGTCAAACATAGTGTGCATGCTTGGTGCATGGCATAACTATTGTTTAGACAAACATAGTGTGCATGCTTGGAGCATGGCATAACTATTGTTTTAATTAGAGTATTAAGTTGATTATTCGAAACATTATACAATGAATAATGAGTAATCAATATGACTCAAAATTTTTTGGGCCATATAGGATTAATATTATTATTGTGTTTCACTTTGCATGTTTTGACTTCCCGAATAACTAGGTTATTCAAACCATCCACAGTCGATCATACTTTGGAAGTAGGTATTGAGGCAAGACTGCCATGAATGGGTCTGCAGTTTGTCTAGGACAAGGTGGTTGCAGTATTCATGAGTGCTCCTGGAATAAGATTCGAGTATTGGATTCAACCCACGCTCATTTGAATCATTTCATGAATTTTATCACGAGTGATCATGAGATGATAATATCTTATATTCTTGAAACGGAGACATGTGAGTTGTAGTTGCGAGTCAGTTGCACATTGACATATGTAAATGCACCAGTAACTTGGATGTTATAAAACATATCGTTGTGTGTAATTTGATGAGTAAGTACAAGAGAGCATTTGGGTCGAAGTTTATCCGTTTCTTTTACCCCATGTGGATAAAAGCAATGTTTGTGGGCCCCTCGATGATTTAGTGATGACAACAGGCATGGACTGATTTAATTTGTTCAATTAGTCGGTCGTCATAAATCGGAAATCAGGAAACAACAGATGGGCAGAGAGAATGATCATAATCAATGTCTCATTCCATATGATATCTAGAATGGAGGAATATATGATCCCTTATCTAATGGACACGTCATTGACTAGGTCAAAGTTCGACAGCGGCTTTTAAGAGCTACGATTGCTAGTCGGGTTGGAGTCATGCTTGCAATAATAGTTATTAGACTTATCCAAGTGGGAGACTATTAGATTAGGTGTCCAAGCCCATAACTATTATTGGTATGTACTTGACCCGATAGTAGCATGGTCCATTTGGGTTGCATGGCATCGGAACAATTTGGATAGACTTTTGTGAGAATAGGATATTTATGATTTATTAATATATTATAAGTTCTAATATATTAATATGAAATCATATTATTTAATTAGTATTGATCAAGAATTAGTTTGGAATTAATTTTGTGATCAAAAGAGACTAATTAAATAAATGGGATTAATTTGGTAAATCATTCATTCTTATAAAGTGGGCTTATGATCCATAGTTCTTCATGTTGGGCTAAACCCATGGATCACGAGGAATGTGGAATTACGACTATAACATAGGGGCTTATACTCCGACTAGGTTTGTTCTCAAACCTACAAATAAAAGTATTATTATTAATTACACTATTGATAGACTACTTACGAGAGATGTGTCAAGAACAGACTAGTCGCTTGGGTTGCTGGATTTCAAAATGGCCATATGCTAAAATGGTCATGCCCTCCGACTTTTCCTACCTCGTTGATCCTTACTTGATAGTCTTGAAGTACAAAACAAGAATTAATAAAACATAAAAACAAACTTCAGATGTAGAGTTATATATAAACTCAATCCCTCGATGAGAAAACACTTATATATATATATATATATATATATATATATATATATATATATATATATATATATATATATATATATATGAATCATACAACGAAATCTATAGAAACCCAAACTCAAGAGTTTAGGTCAAATACGATATCTGAGATTAGCACAATATATGGGCCGAACCACAACTAGCATATACTATACACCTATGTTTAATTATGGTTAGCCTGATATACAACTAATCACTACTAGAAAACAACCCTTTAATGACACGTAAACAACGACACACACTGATTTACGATACGTTGCGTGTCCTAAAAATAATGTCAGTTTTCCAAAATTTGAAGGATAGAGGACACGCATTTGCGCGTGCCCTAAAATTAGTGTCAGAAAAGAAAAAAAAGAAATACGGAGGGTGCCTATCATAAAATGTGTGTCATGTAAGTGTGTTGCTTTGTATTTTTTTTAATGAAACACATGTTTTAAGGGGGGAAATGAAATCCCCAAGAATTAAACCCCTGCCTATTCTATCTGAAAAATTAAAACCCCCGCCTCTTCGAATTAGCAAGAAAGAAGCCCTAGGGTCTTCATCTTCACCCACCTTCAGCGCCTCCAACACTTCTATCTTCATCCAACACAACTCATGCTCTCTCCGGTAGAAAACCTCAAACTACATCCTCCACATGAAAAAACCCTAATTGGCGACCATATAACATGATTTATCTTCGTCTCTCTTCCATTGATGCACAAACACTTCTTCTCCTGCGACTTTAGGTAAGTCTCTCTCTCTCTCTCTCTATATATATATATATATATATATATATATATATATATATATCTTTCTCTCTCTCTCTCTCTCTAACCTAAAACCCAACCTGCGATTTCATAGAGATCTCCCATGGCTGTAACAAATTTTGTCTCATGACGTAGGTCACTGAAGAGGGAAATTCACCATTTTCATATTCATTAGGTCTCCAAAAGTTTCAAAGGGGGGAAAACGATCAGCTGACTCACTGAATCATAAGCAATCCCCACTGATCTTCGTATATCTCACTGAAATCGTAATAACAATCAATCACTATCTTCCCATATTGCCACCATGTGTCATTTTTCTCTCGATTGTCCCTACTTCGATTGATTTCCCTTGTCCCTTCCTCCTCCTCCTCTCCATCGTTTTCGGTCGCTAATACGCTAGAGTGGGATGAACCTGCTGTCTGCGCAGAGGTTGAGGATTCCGACGATGATTTTGTGACTGATGGGGATGTTAAGCCGCCCATTTCTATTAGGGCTTATTTCTTCTCTACCAGGTATGATAATTGCTGCTTAAAATGGTTAATTTTTCATATTCATCACTGCATTCGTTGTGAATATTGCGTGATTTGATTGTAGTGTGGATTTGAGAAGTCTGGTGGAACAGAACAAACCCAATTTTAATTTTATCCGGCCTACATCGCGCATGACTAATTACATTGTATTGTGGTTTGGCAGCAACAAGCCTGGGCATATTGTAAGTCTGTTTTGTTCATGTGATCAAGAGATTTTTGTTGCATTCGCTATATGTTTAGTTATTTGCAAGAAACATTTTGGAGATACATGTGCATTACAACACCCAACTAGGTTCATACAAGCTTTTAGTGCTTAAAATGTTAAAATTGAAATAGGGAATGAAGCACACCAGCATCACTACATCTATGAATCTTGAAGTTGAAGCTACATATGATTTCAGTGTTTTCTAGTTTCTACTTCTGAAGCTTCTTGATGATTATTCTTTTTTAGGGTTTGGGTTCGAGTTTAAGTAGGAGTGAAAGCAGCTACATGGTAGTCTTTCAATATGGCTCAATTGTCTTATTCAATATCTGTGATCATGAAGTTCACGAGTATCTAAAAATTGTAAAAAATCATGCTTCATGATTGATCCAAGAGATTAGAAAATATGGTGAGTTCTCGTGACTTCATGATTGCAAGGTGGGTTGGATTATATAATGCTGCAGTATTTGAACATTGATACAGTTTTCCCTTTTTCCTATTCCTAAAATGAATTGATGGTATAGTGATTAGGACTCTAGGAAGCTTCAAACACTTGATATACTGTTGAATCGGTTGTGTGTAGGAAATCATTGTGTAAGAATTCAAAATTAAAAATTGATTCCATCTGTTTGTGACATGCAAGGTGAGATATTGGTACCTGGATTCCTTTCATGACCTTAGATCCTTTCCTGATATCAAAGACATGAATGACGAACAAGACTTCACAAAAATGATTAATTTAATCAAGGTGAGGCACAATAACGTTGTCCCTACCATGGCTCTTGGTGTCCAACAGTTGAAGAAAGATCTTAACCCAAAACTTCATTACAAAGACCTCGATGACATTCACTAGTTTCTAGATCGCTTTTACATGTCAAGAATTGGGATTCGTATGCTAATTGGTTAGTATCCTAAACTCCTTCCTACTCTTTCATTCATGTAGGATGGGTTATTACTTATTACTTATTATAATTACTATAAAATTCGATCAAATCTCAGGTCAACATGTGGCATTACATGAACCAAACCCACCATCAGATCGTATTGGTTCCATACATGCAAAAATGTCTCCAGTAGAAGTAGAAAGGCATGCTAGTGAAGATGCAAGATCTGTTTGTTTATGTGAGTATGGCAGTGCACCTGATGTTAAGGTCTATGGTGATCCTGATTTCATATTCCCGTAGGTTGTCATGTGTTTCTTTAAACAATTCGTGATATTTTGATTTTTGATATCAAATTTCATGTTATGACATGTTAATGACAGTTATGTCCCTACACATTTGCATTTGATGGTGTTTGAGTTGGTTAAAAATTCATTGTGTGCTGTTGAAGAGCGAATTATGGATTTGGAGAAACTCGCACCTCCTATTCGGATAATAGGATAAAAATGGTAAGTTCAAATAAATGTTTTGATGCAGGACTACGATCACTCATTCCATTCCATTCCTCCGCCATTGATTCCATTCCACCATAATCATAAAACATAATAGGTTGTAGGAATGATATCATTGTATTCTTGATGAGTACAAGAGCTGGTGGGATGGGGACCAATCTGACACAGTCATTTTTTATGGAAGTAATTGGAATCCAACTCTTGATTTGCAAGCCATGGACATGGCTTGTCGCTTGGGTCAAACCAAAGATGTTAGTTTTCTTACTTCATTTATTTAACTTTTTTATTTTTACCAAAATAACCTTAACAATAATGTATGTTTGTTGGCTGGTGTAGGTTACAGTGTACAGGTTGATATCCATTGTGCAACAAACCAAAAATTACTCCTTTATTGGTTGACTAATGATACCAAGGATTTGTTTGAATGTATTATCAAATTATATAGTTATGGAAACTCCTTTAATAACAATGTATTAAATTTATTTAGCATTGGAATGATTATTTGTATTTGACATACTATATATTATGAAATTGATTGTCTTTTTCTTTTTATATGATATGTTATTTTGTATTATCAGATATCAATTGTCATTTAATTTGAAAATAACTAAATCTATAAAAAAAAAATTCAAAAACATTTAAAATTATGACACGCAAAAATGTGTGTCGTCTTCCTTTATGACAGGGGATTCCTTGATATGCATTGCGTGTCATTTATCTTTGTCGTAAATGTGCGTCGTAAGGTTACGACACGTAAATGTGTGTTGTCTTCCTTTATGACAAGGCCTTTCTTGACACACATTTGCGTGTTGTCTCTGGGTTTTATGACACGCAATGCGTGTCATTAAAGGGTATTTTTGTAGTAGTGAATCTTGGATATAGTAGTTGATAGACTAAATTATCGAGAAACCCATAGAACTTAGAACCCAACTATTCAGACCATTACTATCTGGGAAAGACAGTACGGTCATCGCTCGAGAATGGCAAATCTTGGAAACAGGAGAACTAAACCATTTCTAGAGAAAGATCAAGTTGTGTTACTCTCTCTTCAGATCAATGATAATCATTTTTCTGAGACTTTCACATCTCTATTTTCTTTGACCCCCGACAAGGAACCCCGCGAGAAGGGTGGTTTCTCAAAAACAATTAAAGATCCAACCCTATCGTCATAAGAACCCATCGAGGAACCTTTCATGTCCTCTAAGGAAGACGATCATGCTGAGGAAGAGGCTCCACTACCACCACAATAGAAAAGTCATCCCAACCTTTTCGAGAAGTCCCAAAATAAAGCTCAACTGTAATAAATAGAGGGTCATGGATGAGATATGATTCCACTTTAAGGCCTGAAAAAAACCATAGGCTTAGCTACCTATCCCTCCCCTCAAAACATCACCTAGTTCCGTCATACCTACCCTAGCCACTTGCACTACACGTCACGCCAATCAGATTCACACCATCAATAATGAGTTGGGAATCATCAAAGGAAGCGCAATGAACCTATATAATATAATCCAAAGGTTAGAGGAGGATCGAAACCTAGATAAAAGGATTGAAGCTCTAGGCACAAGTTGCAGAGCAAAAGTAATCGCCAAAAATTCTAATACCTATGCGACAAAGATAAGAACTAAATCCGCTTAGTAATAGCTCTCTAACCTAGTATGGTAGACTTACAAGTTGTGTACTAAGGTCTACAGATTACAAGTATAATGGGAAGTTCGTTAATGCAAGAAAACAGTATTGTCTCTATCCCTCAGAAAATAGTCTCTTTAGTACATAGAAGTTTTCCACTCCTAACATAGAAACTTTTGTGATATTAGTCTTTACACTAACTCATGTGCTTAATCGTTACTACCTGCATCTATAAAAAGGCGTCATCAACTAACACTCTCTTTTTTGCTAACTATAATAGGATCCAAACATGCCTCAGAGAAGAATCACTAGAAGAAACCCTAGGGAACAACCGAACCCAGACCCAGTAGCCATGGAGTCAGCAGCCATCGAGGCGTTGACCGCCCAATGGGTCACAGATGCCCTAGCTAGCTAACATTGAAAATAATAGGAATATTGGATCTGGTCAAGGAGGAAGAACCGGAGGATATAGTACTCAGGGTGGTAACAGAGGTCACCCAAGGGTACGTACTTATAAGGAATTCATGAACTGTAAGCCGAAACCCTTTTATGGAAATGAAGGAGTAGTATGACCGATTCACTGGATTGAGAAGGTGGAGTCAGGATTTGAGATAAGCTTCTGGGATGAAAATTGCAAAATTAGGTTTGCTGCATGTACCTTTGAATATTCAATATTGTCATGGTGGAACAACCATACCAAAACCATGGGAATTATCACATCGAATTCCATCTCCTGGGATAAACTTAAACAACTGATGATGGATGAAAACTACCCCAGAGAGGAAATGAAAAAGCTAGAGCAAGAACTCTGGGGATCTTGTCATGCAAGATGCAGACATTACAACTTATACCAACTGCTTCAATGATCTCGCTACCTTCTGCCCCAACCTTGTCACCCCGGAGCACAAGAAGGTAGAAAGGTATACATGGGGTTTATTTCATCCTATTCAAGGATTAGTCACTGCATCCAGACCAACTACGTATGATAGTGCCAAGAGACTGGGTTTTAACCTGACCAATCAGAAAATCCGTCAGGGCACAATGGTCCAAAAACTTGACCTTCCAAAGCCAGAAAACAATAAGAGGAAATTTGATGGTGACTCAGAGCAACCATCATGGAAGAAACAAGACTTTGAGAAAGTTTTGCATAGTAACCATCACATCACCTACTCCACTAAGGCAGTATGCAGAAGATCTTCTGTTATGCATTGAGTGCAACTACCACTATGTAGGTGGATGTAGAGAACTAATATGTAACAAATGTGGTAGAAAGGGCCACACCACTAGGTTTTGTAGGAGCCCGACCCGCGTCCCAAACCAAGGAATTGGTATTGGTGGAAACCGCAACTGCTATGGATGTGGAGAAATTGGCCACTTCAAAAGAGATTATCCAAGAGTGGCAAGTCGAAGGGACAATGCTCGGGGAGGAGCATTATTAATTGGCACAAATGACTCTACCCAAGATCCTCCCCTGGAAATTGGTAGGTCCTTGTTAAATAAATTATGTACAAACTAAATGGTGATATAGTTTTGTGAACACTATATTTAAGCACTCACCAAAACATAAAACTAGTAAAAGCTAAGAAACACATGTTATTAATTATTAGGAGGATACGTAGGTTACATGACTATAGAATTATATAGTTTTAGAAAGTTTGATTTTAACTTTATTGCGCAACTATCGTCTGAGTCTAACCGTAGTAGGGAGAAATCATACGGTCGAAGAAAACTTAATTTTAGCAGCACGTAACATTATTCACCAGATTATTAGATAACATTAAGCAGAACTCTCTCTCCCTCTGCGAATAGCAATCCAAGGAAAAAGTGACCCTTGTTAAAACTCTCATCGTAATACTTGAATCCCTCGAGAATTCTAGAATGAAATGTTTCAAAAAAAACCTTTAGATTATCATAGGGATTCAATACCTTTCGAGGATAGGTGTCAGAAAGTACTTGTCTGAGGGCACTATCACTACGACTATGTATCATAAAGTACTTGTCTGAGGGCACTATCACTATCACTATGTATCAGATTGTACTTATCTGAGGGCACTATCACTACCACTATGTATCAAAAAGTACCTGTCTGAGGGCCCTATCACTACCACTATGTATCAGAAAGTACCTGTCGGAGGGCATTATCACTACCACTATGTATCAGAAAGTACTTGTCTGAGGGCACTATCACTACCACTATGTATCATAAAGTACTTGTCTGAGGACACTATCACTACCACTATGAGTATCAGAAAATACTTGTCTAACGACACTATCACTATCTAATCCAAATCGGTTCTAAACTTCAGTTCGAAAGAGAACCCTAGGGAGTCAATTCACTCTCTATAAAATTAAACTATAAGTATATTTCATAGTAATTAAGAGTAAGCTCCAAAAATCCTAATTTACTAAGATTTTCCTAATTGTGCCTTCGCGTCAGGCATTACAAGTTGAATTTCGAAGACGAAATTCCTTAAACGGTGGGAGAATGTAACAAATGCAAAAATTGTCACCAGTCATTAAGCGCTAAAAGTGACAACCGCCAACTATGATAGAGTTAATACGTCATATTTATCAATCTAAGATAAAAATACAAGATTTCGTATTAAAATACAATAGAAAAATTAGTCAAATCGTCTGTAATCTATAAAAATAAGTGCGTGAAAAATTATGTTATTTTGACGAAATAATAACATATTACGAAAGTACGCATCTTCCCGATCCCGGAAACATAAATTTCGTAAAAATACGACTCCGTATGAATTAGATATGAATGTTATAAGATATAGAAATCAACCGCGGACAAGGAACATGCAACGTCAAAAACTACAAAAAGAATGATCGCCATTTAGCTAAAGTCACCAAAAGAAGAATTGTAGTACTCCTCGAGATAAGAATTTGAGAGAAAGAATGCAAAAATCGGAGTTTGTATTAGAGTGATACGATTTTTGCAAAATCATATAAACATATAAAAATAAGGGCTAAAAATAAAATCAGAATTATCCAATACAACCTAAAGTAAAGTTGTTGTACTCGTTGATAGCTACACGTGGATATAACGAACGTCGTAAACGGAGTTTGTTTGAAGAAGTTACGCAATTTACAAAAATCAACATTTTCGGCGCTCGATTAGCGCACGGTGCGTGGCTCGTACGCCTTCTTGAAGAGAGGGGGGGGAGGGGTACGTGGACCAGCAGGAAAATGACACGCGTCAGGAGGATATTGGAGCCAAGCTAGAAGGGCGCGATGCGCAATCTGAAGGGCACGACGCACAATCTGAAGGGCGCGACACGCCTAAGCAATTTCCAGCCTATAAATTGATGTTTGAGGCTCATTTTTTCCACACTCAATCTGAATCTCTCCCTC